TTCAGTTTTTACCTCAAAGTGGCTGCTGCGTTTTTGAGCTAAACATTTGGAAACTTTGGATGGTTTCTTGCTTGCTTCTCCTTCCTTGGCACAACAATGGAGATAAAACTTTCTTTCCCCTTTCTTGATGCTTGGCCGACAGAGAGATAATGGGAGGAGAGAGGAGTGTTGTGTGTGTGGATGATAAGAGATGATGATGATGGTGATATAGTATAGCTTTTCTTTGTTTATTATATTTTTCTTTTGATTTTTAGTGTAGGATGGGAAATTTCGGGTGACTTTGTGAAGATTGAGGTGGCTAGTGGAGATCATGGGCTGAATACGTGATTGAGTAGGGATTTTAAAATATTTTCTTACTCCGTAACTGTTAAACTGAGTAAAACGGTACGCGCTTTTTCGCCCAAACTGTTCCGAATTGAAAACGGATTATGTTTTTGGAGTCAGACTGTCAAAACTAGAATTTTGACGTAATCAAAATATTTTTCTAAGAACTTTTATTTTTTTCTGTGTTCGGGTCTATCTCAGTCATAAATTAATTTAATAATATAAATGATATAAAAATATATGAATTTAATCCAAATGATAAATATGGTGTTGTCAAGTGTCAAAAATTAAGATTTCTAATCTTATGAAATCTCTTTTGATTTGAGTTTATTTTATGGGTCAAAGTTACAAATTTTAATATTTAAAATCGTCATAGCTTGAAATCTATAAATCAGATTGGTTCATAAAATGTACCGTTGGATTTGTCTCTTCGAGACATATCCATAAAAATAAGATTTTAAAAAAAAGTTATTATTTTTAAAATCCATTTATTTTTAGTCAAACGTACAAATATTCCTTATTGGATAAAAACTACTTTTGTTTTATAATAAATTTTGGGCCATATTTTGTGGCGTTACAGAACGCGTCTCGGACTCCAATAAAATCCTGTGCACCTTCTTGAATACTTCAAGAAATGGCACTTCAAGTCTTCGTGTTTGTCACTGTAGCACTTTGATCTTGACTTGAATAAATTGTGTTTGTCAATTATCAAAACATGTGAGTCAACACTTAGCAACACAGAAAGGGTTGAACTCATGCATTCCAACAATTTCCCCTTTTTTGATAATGACAAACACATGGAGGATATGCTACCAACAAATAACAAAATAAGGCATATACTCCTATACTCTTCCCCCTTTTGGCATTATCAAAAATAATGCAACAAAATAACTCATGGATTCTGATAGGCGGGTCGTAGCACCTAAAAAATTAATTAATTATTTTCCTTTACTCAATTCCTTCTTGTTAAAATAATATTTATTAAATCTATAGATAGGATAAGTAAGGATCGATCCCACGACGAAAGATACTTTTCCGGTTATGAAAATCAGTTTACTTTGTCACCTTTTATTGGATAAAAACAACTATCTAAAATCTATAAACTAAATTAAAAGATAGGGGGGTTGAAAAAAAGTGTTTTCTAAATAAAGTAAAAAAACTAACTAAAGTGACACACCACACCAGAACAAATCTCAAAACAAACCAAGGATAAAAACATAACATAACTCCACCGAGAAAACCAAACAAAGAAGACGAGAACACATAACACAATAATTTAAAGACTTAAACAATTTTAGAAAATCAACAATTTGTTTTATATAGAAAATAAATATCTAGGATCAAAATTTTGTTAAAAACGTGCATAATCATCAACCAACTATAAATTAAAACAAGGGTCCGGCTGAAAAAGAGGTCCACCAATGGCTCTTCCCTATTTTCCCATTCATAAAAGCTCATGTTAGGACCAACCCTAACTCTAAACCCTACTACCCTTAGCAACCCAAAGACCAAGCCTTAGATTACTACTAAGAATAGTGCATTAAGATTTGTGGAAAACATCTCCGTAACAATCTTGCAGTAACACGAAGGTTATTTAACAAAATCAATTTGAGCACTTTGGACTTTAAAAGAATATCATTTTAAATTGGATTAGGTCGCGATCCTAATTTGACCCAACTTAAGTAAAATCAATTGAAAAATAGTTCTCAAACACCTTTGGATTAATTTAATAGAAGCATAACTTGAATTATTTTAGAAGTATTAAACTTGAAGTAAAAGTTTAAACCCATAGACAGATTCATTCTTTTTAAAACAAGACCAGATATTTCCTCAAAACTTCTGATTTCATAAGTTAGTTTGGACAAAATCAGATCCTAGATTATACCAAAACACTAAGAAAACTCCCAAAATCTGCTACAGATTCACGCCAGAGCCTAGTGTCATTCATGTGCCTCCACCTTGAAGCCAAATTTATTCTTAAGCTTATGTATCATTAGAGTACATTTCGTATGGCCTAGTTCCATGAATGGACTTTAAACAAATACACTTGTATATGAAAAGAACCCCACAAAAACAAGTGAAACACTCAAGGCTTATCTCTAAGTGAGACAAATTTTGAAACCACCTTTTTTTTCCAATCGAACAAAGTGTATTTCGAAGAAGCACTTGCTGGACAGGAGCAACAGTGAGAAAACTATACCAGTGAGGTGCAAACAAACAACATTCAAGCCTTATTTTAAACAAAAGAATGATGTAAACCTCCGGCCATAACTCAGTAGCAAACTCTATTCTCAATAATTTGTAATTAAAAAACACTAAATTTGGGAGACTAAAACAGAAATCAAATAGTTCCACTAAAAACTGAAAAAAATAAAAGAAACACTAAAAAGAGAAAAACGAAAGGGAACGAAGGGGGTTTTGGGTTGAAGACCCGAACCCCCCTAGGTTCATACCCTTAATTGAAGCTAATAGGAAGACTCCTAATATTATTTAGTTTCCTTATTCTTGTATTACCATAATTACTTTATTCCTTTCCTACTAGGAATAGGACTCTCTCTTGTAATCCCTATATATAGGAACATATCTCTCAATATTCAATAAGACAAATTATTATCAAATTGTATCATGGTATCAGAGCCTAGGTTTAAACCCTAGCCCTTTTTTTCGAGACTGTGCCTTCACCGCCGGTCTCCTTCCTCTCGCCGGTCGACCATAAACGGCAACCATGGCTCAATCTTCAGATCCGCTTGCTTCGCTTCCTTCTGGCGTCAAGCTTCTTCTCCGCAATCTCCATAATCTTATCCCAGAGAAGCTCACTGATTCAAATTATCCTGCATGGTCTCTCAATGTCAAAACTGCTCTCGAGGCCAACCTTCTTCTTGGTTGGATCGATGGTCATGAAGCTGCGCCTCCAAAAATCCTATCCAAGGATGGCAAGGAAAACCCTAACCCAGAATTCCAAACATGGATTGTGATTGATACTTAGA